GAGGTTGCTGTGAGCTATAATGATGCCATGCCTCTCTACCCAGAGCAACAAACAACTTGAGACTCTGTCTCCAAAACAAAGGAAATTATGTTATGATAAATTTTTATTTTTTTATATGTATCCATACAGATTTATTGGCATACATAAATTAGAATGTATAAGTTCTTTTTATATGAACTAATCTATATAATAAGGCCAATATTCAGGATAGAAAGAAAGAAAACACAACACATCATAAAGAACCTTGAGGCTCTGCGCCTGTGGCTCAAGTGGCTAAGGTGCCAGCCACATACACCTAAGGTGGCAGGTTCAAATCTAGCCCGGGCCCACCAAAACAACAATGATGGCTACAACCAAAAAATAGCCGGGCGTTGTGGCTGGCGCCTGTGGTCCCAGCTACTTGGGAGGTGGAGACAGGAGACTCACTTGAGCCCAGGAGTTGGAGGTTGCTATGAGCTGTGATGCGACAGCACTCTACCCAGGGGGCAGTTTAAGGCTCTTTCTCACAAAAATGAAAAACTGAGGCAAGAGGATCACTGGAGTCCAAGAGTTTGAAGTTGCTGTGAGCTATGATGATGCCATGGTGCTCTACAAAGGGTGACAAAGTGTGACTATAAGGAGGTATGCTTTTTCTGCTCTGGCTATTAAAAAGGAGGCATCCACAAGTACATGTTTAAACTCTGGGATACTATGCTGATTTAACCAGAGGACCTGGGATTCTATGCAGGTTCTGCTGATTTCTGCTAGTGGGCTTAAACTCATGCAAAATGTATGTCCAATCTTCTGCTACTTCAAACAAGACTTTATACCTTTAGCCTTTTTTTCCCATGATGTTGACATGTCTTAATGTCATTTTCCTTTGTTTTTCTTCCCCAACCAAAAATCTGTATTTCAAAATAGTCTTTTTATCCGGGTGTTGTGGTGGGCACCTATAATCCCAGCTACTTGGGAGGCTGAGGCAAGAGAATCACTTGAGCCCAAGAGTTGGAGGTTGCTGTGAGCTGTGATGCCACTGCACTCTACTGAGGGTGACATAGTGAAACTCTGTCTCAAAAAAAAATACTAAAATAAAATAGTCTTTTCTTGGATCCCGATTTTAACAACTGAAAAAGACATTTCTGACTTAGTAAGAGAAATGTTAGTATGGCAGTGTGTCCCTTGATATTAAGGAGCAAACTGTTAATTCTGTTAGATGTGACAGTATGATTCTGGAAATGCATGATTCCAGCAATGTGTGGTAAAATACGTGTGGGTGAAATTGTATTTCTGTGATTTGGGTTTTTTTGTCCCTATTATTTTTGTTAAAGAACTCTGGCAAAAACAAATGGGGATAAATGAAGCAGATGTGACAAAATATTGATGATTGTTGACTCTATGTAATGGCGTATGAGCATTCACTTTCAGTCCTATTCTTTGTACCTTACATTAAATAAAAACAAGCAAAAGTGTATTTTTATTTTTGTGCTCTGAATTAGAGTCTCCTTCTTTCTTTTCTTTTCTTTTTTT